GGGGTGAAGACCTTGACGTTTGGGTCGGCTCCACCCCAGCCGGCGGCCTGCTTAGCTGTCGGAGGAAACCCCGCATTAGCACAGCAATTTTCCCTCGGACAGTGGCGCGCGCGTGCTGGAAATTACCTGCGCAACTATGTCACAGTACAGCGCGGAAACACCGCAAACGCAGAATGATCTTTTGTCACTCGTAAAGATGTGTGAATGCATTCTGTTTGTATTTTGTTGTTGTAATTGTTACTTGTTCTCTGACGTAGTCAAAACGCTGATTTTGACTGACTGATCAGTCATGGACACTTACTTTGAGCAGGTTTCCGATTGTGTCCATGGAGTCCCTGGTTCCTATACATGGTGGCGGATCACCTGAAAATGGTCAGATACTATTAAAACCACCTTCCTTAATAACATTCACCTGGGCATTATCTGCATGAACTAGTCCGTGACCAACAACAAACCAGCGCAGCTGAACATCAGACAAAGCAGTCGTAAGCCGCAGGAAATCAACATCATCCTAGCCGATCACAGGTAGCTGCACGGCACGAAGTCGAGTCTCCCTTCTAACAAAGCCGGTTAGGTTTCCACGTTCAGCTCTTCGCGTGCGACTCCATTCGGCCACTAGCATACCAATAACATAATCACGCGGGGATTTGTGTATCTCCTAGCGAAACCGATCCGGCCAATTTGCGTCGAGTCTCGAGCGATGTAGCGCAGACAAGCGCGCGCGTGATTTGAGCCGTCACCGAACCTCTCCACCTAAAGCGCACCTGATAGCCAGGCGCTGCGTGACTCGTCTGGGGTTCTGGCGAGAACCCAAAAATACGAGATGACAACACCGTCCCATGACGAAAACGTTAATGTAAATTCAATTCGGTTACAGGTATGCACTGAATGCGTGGAATTGGAGCAGATTTTACCACATCACACAATCGTCGGTGGGCCATCGCTCAAGAAAATAATCACAGCTTAGACAGATTCCAGCCCATTTAACGGCGAGAAGTGGGAGGAGGAAAACGAAAATGGGCGTAGAACCAACCGGGGTTTCCTTTCAGCGAAGATGTGGGCTGTGCGGACAGCCCCGTCACCGGTCAAGACAACAACGCAGTTTAACTGAAAGATGATTTTCCGATCATCTCCCCGCAATCCCGGCCCACATTAGCGGACTGACCGCGAACAGCGGAGCTACACTGCTGGCCGGCCCGTCGGCCGCCATTCCTCCCACTTTCTGCAGCCAGCGCCCGTCCGTCTTCCGCCGGCGCGCCAGGCGGGCGGTGCTGAACCAGCGTCCGCTCCGCTGCCGCCGCTCACCGCGCCGCCGGGGCCGCCTGACCCGGGCTGCCGGCCACCGGACCGACCCCAGCGACCCCGGCGAGCGGCTGACGCCGGGCTCCGCCGCGGGCGACGCCCGGAGCCGCGGCCGCCTCGCCGGCACCGCCGCCAGATCCGGCCTTTCAGTACCCAATAACTATGTTGGCGCAGTTTCGGAGATGTGTGTGGATCGACCTGCGCGAAGTTGCTTGGCACCGGGAGTTGTGCTGATGTGAGGCGACTGATCTCGGTGTACCAGCAATGTTGCATCACTCGCGACTCTATGAGGCCGCCTCAGGCGCCAGAACTTCAGAACGTCTAGCTGTGTTTGTTCTTTCCTTTCAGCGGTTCAGCCTTAATGTACTCGGTAATGGAGACATCTGATTCTCAGGAAAACTACGGAATCAAAATTGGAACTTCATTTATAGGCAATGAGAACTTAAGGGTGTTGATCTGCAACTTATCTGCCTCGTGCGTATCAGTCCGGCTATCCAAGAAAACCGCAACATTTCAAACAGCAGCTGTCCCAGGGGTAACATGAATACAACGCTGAATGTGCATCAGCGAGCAGCAGCCACCATGGGTTCCAGACTCACTGAAGGCAGCCATGTCCACACAAACGAGATAATGTTACACTGGTTGGCACTACACCATACACAAGCCACAAGTATTTCCAGGTACCATCTGGTTATCCCACTATGAATCCGTTCAAGCTCTGGTGGTGGGTCCAGTGTTTATGTGCCTGTTCAATAAACAAGAAACTTGACCCTGAGGCTACCAAAGAGTGTTCATGGGGCAAAGAAATAGGATCAATGTAAATGTTTGAAGCATAACATGAGCAAATAAATGTGTTTCCCCCTGAGGTGACAGATGTTTTGTCAGCAAATTTGTCACCAAGCATTCCAGGTTTAGTTCCTCCTCCCAAGCTACTTTTTTGCAATTCTCAGCTCTTTGGATCTATATAAGCAGAATGCATGCTGAAATGCATTCATCTTCTTTACACTGACCATAACTGAGGTATCATAACTGGGGGTGGGGAGGGGGCAGGTGAGGTCTGATACCACCCAGCTTAGCTCTGGAACCAAACTATAAATTCTGTCAAAAGATTCAGTTAGTAGCATAGATTGCACAACCAGACATATTTACTAAGTACCCAAACCCTCTGAATGTTGCACAACAGAGACCCAAAATGCTTGGAAAAATTGTGATCACTTGCAACTTGAAGCCTGCTAGCCAATTTTGAGGCTCAGTTATCAATTTAGTGATATGATGACAGCTATAGTATTAGTTGACATCATGAGGAGAAATGACTTTTATTAGTTGCATCACTCAGTCCTAAGCTAGAGGATGTTTAACTATTCCAAGGATCAAAATGTAGTACTGACAAGTTTGGCAGTTGGATCCTTACTAATGTGTCATGTATCAGCAGCATATTCAATCTGTTTCCTCCATCATTCATAAAATCAGAGATCAGACAAATCCTGATTGCTTAGCAACACAATAGTGTATACACAAAAAGTACATCCCAAGTTATTTATATATGGAGAAGCATGACAGCCATATGGACATGCATTCATTTTCTTATAAACACCATTTGACATGACCTGGCTCATAATAACTTAGTCTGGCAACTATATGTGTAATACAATGTACAGAGATCTATAAACCGAACCATCATGCTTGCACAAACACAAGACCCATAAGAAATGCACATTATTACATTATGAAATATACATGACAACTAATATATAATATACAGACAACTGTTATGGGGAAATCATCACACATCAAGCAATATCACAACAGATGGCCTACAAACCTGGTACTTATATTTGTACCTCTGGTATCACTATACCATAAGTTCCTCCAAACCTCTGGGCAAGTAAATATTGCTGTCTTTCATCTCAGTTCAAATTATTGCTCATATCAAAATTATCTAAGTCACTTCCTGCCAGAAATTAACCTTACAGTGACATGCTGTAACTATATTTCTAGGCCGCCCATCCTTTGTTTTCAATGTCACAAGCAACCCAAATTTCATGAGCCCAGAATTTCTAACACCATGAAGTCACATGGGAATGAAACCTCATGCCAATGACAAAGCAAGGTCAAAACCTGCATGTAACAGAGCTGTGCTGCAATATGGAAATCAAACAGCAAATGCAGTTGGCATGCCCAAAAACCCAGGAAATAACAAGATGTGCCAAAACAATAAACATGTGCTGTGACAGATTTGGTACTCCAGCTTTGTAACTTCCATATCAAAGAACTTGTAACTCCTGTTTTTGATCAATGATGATAATTCAAACTGACTTGGTATTACACTTAATACCATAGTAGAAATTTAGAAAATGCATTAACTGGAATGACACCAACTACTGTTTGCAATTCAGGCATGTCCAAAAACTAGCAGGAACATGTCACAGAGACATATGACCCACATGCTTTTGCAGAAATATTTCACGAAGATGCATATGTTCTTTTATATCTCCAAATTATCTTTTAATCTTTTGATATTATTTGGCATTAGCTGTCAATTTCAGCAAGGATATCCCAACTATGATTCCTGATAACACATTGGAACTAGTCAGCTGCAAACAGATGTTGCTTACAAAGTCTTTTGTATCAAATTCTGAAGTTGAAAAATATTTTACTTTTCCACATCATTTGAGTCCTAAATTGAAAAAATGATATGCTTACTTACAAACAACATGCTAGTCTAACTTGGCAGCAATGCAATATACCTGACATGTGTAAAACTGCCATAAAAATAATATAAGCTGACCTACATAGGCTACTTCACACAAAATGTGTCCACCCCAATCAAATGTGTAGTGGCTTATGGACTATGAAAGATGAAGACACATTAAGAGGTTCTTAATAACACTCCAAAATGCAATGAACCCAACTTGATGATTTC